TATAATATATAGTGATTTGTAATATATAATAGAGCATGTAATGTATATACTACAATGTATAAATAAGATCAAGAGACACAGTAGTAATTGAGATATCAAATCATAAAGTATAACACAGAACTAACTGCCAAGATCTGCCGTGTGTAGTTTATGCGAGCCATGGAGTACCCTAATATATACGCGAAAGTATCGTACAAAATCTCATCAATTTTATTGCAATTCGATATTAAACTCAGTCGCGCAAATAAGAAATTCCAAAAAAACGATTACATTTATATAAGTAAACAATTATTTAGTACTATTTCTTTTTAAGATTAATGTAGAAAATAGCATTGCATTGCATCATTACGATATGCAGTAAAGTTACTGCAATAAATTTTAGTATTACTTTCATATGACAAAAAGGAAATAAACGTATTGGAATGGGTTATAAGTAATTTTCATCTATAAAGGTATACACATATGTTTTATACATAAAATCGTATTTATTTATACTTTAATTACATCTACAATGTATTTATAAAAATATTGGAATGGATTATACATACACGGAAGATTATTTCATCCATCCATGAAAAAAACTAATTAAATTAAAAAACAGTAAATGAAGAAAAATAAAATGAACTTTGCTACATATGTGAGAAATAATATATATTTAAAACATATACACGTATATGCTTGAAATCTATATCTATTTCTCACATATGTAGTAGCATTGAACTTGCATCATTACAATTGACAATATGTAGCAGAGTTACTACAATACACGGAAAAAAATAAATTGAAATGGGTTACGCGTCCGCTCTATAATTTAATCTATCCGTGGAAAAAAAAACAAGAACAATCATTGAAAAGTAATAAGAGGAAATCTGCTACATATTGTCTGCAATGCAAAAAAATACGTTGGAATGGGTTACGTGCACGCCATATAATTTTATACATCCATGAAAAGAAACCCCAAAGACCAGTCATTGAAACGTTATGACAAGAAATGTGCTACATGTCAGAAATAAATATAAATTATAAACATATTCATGTATATGCTCAAAATCTATATCTATTTCTCACATATGTAGTAGTATTGAATTTGCATCATTACAATAGACAATATGTAGCAGAGTTACTGCAATACACCGAAAAAAATAAATTAAAATGGGTTACGCGTCCGCTCTATAATTTAATCTATCCGTGGAAAAAAAAACAAGAACAATCATTGAAAAGTTATAAGAGGAAATCTGCTACATATTGTCTGCAATGCAAAAAAAATACGTTGGAATGGGTTACGTACACGCCATACAATTTTAGCCATCCATGAAAAGAAACCCTCAAAGACCAGTCATTGAAAAGTAATTACAAGAAGTGTGCTACATGTCAGAAATAAATATAAATTATAAACATATTCATGTATATGCTTAAAATCTATATCTATTTCTCACATATGTAGTAGCATTGAATTTGCGTCTTTACAATAGACAATATGTAGCAGAGTTACTGCAATACACCGAAAAAAACATTAAAATGGGTTACGTGCCCGCCATATAATTAAATTTATCCATGGATGATGAAAAAAATCTTAAGAACAGTCACTGCAAAGTAATAAAAGGAAATCTGCTACATATTGTCTGCAATGCAAAAAAAATACGTTGAAATGGGTTACGTGCACGCCATATAATTTTATACATCCACGAAAAGAAACCCTCAAAGACCAGTCATTGAAAAGTAATTACAAGAAGTGTGCTACATGTCAGAAATAAATATAAATTATAAACATATTCATGTATATGCTTAAAATCTATATCTATTTCTCACATATGTAGTAGCATTGAATTTGCGTCTTTACAATAGACAATATGTAGCAAAGTTGCTGCAGTACACCAAAAAAAAGAAAAAAATAAGTTGAAATGGGTTGCATACATGCAACACGTACAGTTTTATCTATCAATAAAAAAAGAACTTCAAACCAGTCGATCAAAATAAATCAAACAGAGTCTGCTACATATTGTATGTTGTAATTTAAAAAATATATAAAACCAAACTTTTGATGAAGTGCGAGAAATTGGTATTAAAAATTGACGTTGATGTTTACATAATGTAAGTAAGTCAGAAGAAAAATATATGTATGTATGAGTACATGTGTGCGCGTGCATGTGTGTGTGTGTGTGTGTGTGTGTGTGTGTGTGTGTGTGTGTGTGTGTGTGTGTGTGTGTGCGTGTATGTGTGTG